GGGGCGGGCGGCCACGCCGACCCGGGCCAAACTAGAGCGGCGCTGCCAATCTTGCGGGACGCCGCGAGCCCACAGGGCATTCCGCCGAATCTCGAAACGGAAGATGTAAAAAGAGGCACGAACGTAGACGGCGTGAGTCTGGACCATCTGGACACAAACAACTCAAAGGACAACTTCACTTCAAATAATTGAAATAAAGCATACTAAATCGGACAAGGGACAATTTTGTTGCGAGTGTAAGGGGTAAGGTCAACTTTTTGCGCTACTTGTTTGGGACAATTCGTTTACAATTTTGATAAAAATGGTCAAATTAACTGCAGTAAATATTGGTTCCGAAACACAGACTACCCAACTAGATGGAAAAAGTAATTTGCTCTGACTCCACATCTAGTACACACAGATCGTGGTGGCCTACCCCTACCTACAACTTCGGACAACGTCCACTGCAGTAAACCCGCTTGATCAGCATGTAGGTGACATAGACACCGTGCCCCAAATTCCCTTCAAGCATAGATGGACTCAATGATTGTGCGTCATACCAAAGTAGTTCCGCATAGAGGGAGCCCAGAATTATTGGGGCCTTTTGCGCTACGAGTTGGGCATGAAATAGTCCTCAATGACAGGTGTACCCAATACACTGAAAACAAAAGTGTGCAACTGCCAGGAACATAAGTGTTCAACTCAATGCTGCACACTTCTAGGAGTTGGCTGGAAATTTGAATACTTGAAAGAGTTCAACAGTAAATTTGAGCACTTTTAAGTGTCCATAGCTGACGGCCAACCCTAAAGTTGTACACTTCTACGTTCTCAAATTTACTGGTCAACATCTGTTAAACCCGGTGAAGTGTACAACGTAATGTTAAGCACCTGCACGTGCACGCCAGAAGCACACTTTATTCATCAGTGCGGCAAGTGTCGGTGTTTAGAAAACAATTTTCTTTTAAAGCTAAGATTTAAATTAGAGCCCCAAAATGGAAGTAGATATTGGAATCGATTTGGGCCAACAATTCTGAAAGGGACATTACATAAATTTGTAAGGGAAATTTTGATATGGGCCAATCGTTCCGTAGTGATTCGTTGGCAGGTGGAAGAACTCCTATAGCACTGAATCTGGATTTGCGATAAATTAACCCTCATTTCTGCCATAACTACTCGATTTTTGCGATTGCTTCGATTTATCGCTTTTCTGGACATGATAACTTATTATCGCAAAAAAAACATGCAATGAAACGTGTATGGGAAAGTTATCACAAAAATAGTGTGATAACTTTTTATCACAAGTTTTTGTGATAAATGTGTATACTATCTCCAGTTATACACTAAACTTTGCGATAAAAAGTTATCATATTATTTTTGTAATGCTTTCTCTTATACTTTTCATCGCATTTTTTTTTTTTTTTTTTTTTGCGATGAAAAGTTATCATGCCTAGAAAACCGATAAATCAGAGGTATCACAAAATTGAGTTATCGCAAACTTTTGTGATAAAAGTATCATAGGTTCAGTTTCAGTGAGGCTACACATACACTGACGGCCGCACTCATTCAAGCATACGTTGGGGACTCACCGGCGGGGGTGCTGAGCGCTGCCGAGGTGGTCGTGGAGGCCGTTGGAGACGATTACAGTTACTTGACCACCTCTGTGTATTCCGTCTGGAACGACACCGACAACATCCCCTATGAACTCCCCCGGCGCTATGCACAGGTGGGCGGGTGACGCGCACGCACTATACACACACACACAAACACACACGTGAGTACTCGCACACAAGCGGACGTGCGCGCGACAGCGAAGACGCACTTGAGGACGCGGAGCGGCCGGCCGGCTGCGGAGCGGGCGGAGCGGCGAGCGAGTCGTGGCGGCGCGCCGGGCGGGTGGCGCGCATGTGGGGGCCCGGCCCGGCCCAGAGCCGCGCCGCCAGCGCGCCGCAACCCCCCCTCCCCCTCCTCCCCCACCGGCGACACCAACGCGTGCTATTTGAGGGTAGGGGGTACGTTTTCCACGGCGGCGCACCCGGAGCGTCACCCGTGGTTTGCCTGCAGCACACACACACACACACACACACATATTCATTTTATATTTTTAATCACCGCCCACTGGCCAACCCTAACCCGCCCTCCTCCAGAGCCAGAGAGACCCCGCCCTGGAGCACTCGGAAGAACCGGGGCCGGAGCGAACAGAGAGACTAATTGCGGCTGCATTTTAACTGCCACCACACTAGGTCTGCAAAAGTCAGTCCACTTTCGTGTTTGTTTTTTTTTTTTTGTTTTTTTTTTCGAACTGTTTGTGAGCATGGCGCTTAGGTACCCGAGTGAGTAGGCAAGCCGCCCGCACGAGGTTCGGCGTGACTATTAAAGCGGGCGGGGTTTTAAGCCACCTGAAACTCAGTAGTTATACGGCCGTTATAAACTGCCGCTGTAACGGCTTCACAGACTAGCAACAGAGGTGTACAAAAGAACAATTTGACGGGTTCTTGATGCTTTTAAAAATGGCTTCAGTCTGTCCAGCTGAACGGTATGAGATATTGTCATGTCAAATTTAAATTCCTCCCCAGGTGAGCAGGGTTGAACTGCTCGGCCGAAACAGACAAATTCGTGAGCTATTACTTCTTTTAAGCTTACCGTTCAACAACGATATACCCCATTCTATTCACAGCGCCGACGTGAAGGTCCCCATCGTGACAGTGAGTTCCTGTCAGTTCCCTCAGTTCCCTGAAAGGGTGACTCCGGCGTCCAGTACAGAGTGGGTAGGGTGAGTAGCAAAGCGAAGTACAGCAGGTACCGCCAGGGGGGTGGCGGCGCAAGCGTCGTGAGGAGGTGGCGAGGAGGGGGCGGTTGAGGTGGGAGGGGGGAGAGGCAAAGGCTCCGTAAGAGAGTGGGTTTGAAAGCAGTGTTGGAGCCCAGACCTACCTTACCGGAGTGGGTCATGCCGCTGAATACCACCCAAACATTTTTGCCAACTTTTAGCCAGTCTTTGTCTATTTGTCTCTCTTTTTCCTTCTCCCTCTCTCGCTTGAACAAGTCAAAGTTTGTGAAGTGGTGCAAGTTGTCTCTCGGCTCTCACTCGCCCCGCCCGCCCCGGGAAACAAACTGAAATGCCACCCAGCGCGACGGGTGACCGACCCGGGTACCCGTTTGGCGGCAAACGTATATATCCCTCGCTACCCCTCCTGGCCCATCTGTCAATGAAAGGTTCTCAGTTGCGCGGCCGGACTACACCACCCGGAGGCACGCCAAAGCCCTCCCGCAGGTCCTCAAGACTGTAGACGTGTTCGACGTGCCGGGATGGGGCGAGGCACATCACGACCTGTGGCCTGTGGCCTGGACTCACCTCGGCGTGCCTTATCTGCGACACAGCATCCTCCCACACCAGTGATCCTTCTGGACCACGAGGCCCCACCGGGGCAGAGCCGCGAGCAGCGCCGGACACCTCCACGCCACCACCGCCGGAGGGGCGCAGAGGAGGCATCTGAAACAGAGCAAAAACTTTTTAGTGTTGTTGCGATGTTGCGAAATGGAAACAGTGAATGCAGGACCCAGAACGAGGAAAGTGATCACCAACAGGGTCAAACGAGGGCGAGCAGGTGGAGGGCAAACAGATGGCAGTCATAACCTTCGGTTGCGGATGGGAGGGCGAGCTTCTCGACGCAGTGCGTGGGGGAGGAGGCGAGGGGCGGGGCAGGACGCGGCGGGGTGCGGCG